TTAAAAATAAGAAACTATACTGTTTAAAATTCAGTAATACACTGTCTCACCCTGCTCTGTACATGATCAGTTGCTCTCTAATTTTAGGCATTTTTAGGCACTGCTGAATTTGTAGAGGCTGATCTGCTGTAAGCTTTATAGCAAAACAAATCTCTCTTATCCTTTACAGCCATGGAAGCTGCTTCTCTTTGATCTGCACCTGCCATGGTGCTGCACATGTGTTAAGTTATGACACCAGCCATTTGATGGTTTGACAGTTTGGTTGAGGACACAAGCAAATGTGACAGTTAGCAATCCCAGCATTACAGGAATGTAACTGTTTTGAAACTTTTAAATAGATGGGTTTAGTTCCACTTTATGATATACAGCTGTTCGGGGACTCTGGACTTCAGCAAAATGACAGCATCCAGCAAGAAGAAATAGGAGCAATGCTGGAGGCAATTTACAGCACACACTAATTTTGGTGGCATAATTATCAATGTGGAATGTATGTTCCTTGCTAAAGAACATTATGTTTTACCAAGTTGTTATGGGTAAAGTTCCAGGTCAGGGCTGATCTAGCTGCCATGCCCAGCCTCCTGCCTGGGGATTGGCCAGATTCCTCTAATTATGCAGATCAGCCCCTCCTCACCCCTGCCTACTGGCTTCTAAAAACGTCTCCAAGTTTCTAGAGCAGAGGGAGGAATCAGAGAACTGACCTGTAGAGCCCTTCAGCCTTAACCTTACATAACTTCGCAGACTCATACCCAGGCTTCTAGCAAGCAACAAAAAAAAAAAAAAACTATCCACACTGGAGGGCATTACATCTACATAAAATAGATTTATTTTAAACTAGAGTTTAGTTTCACTTTAAGAGTTGATTGTATTTCTAGCAAATCCATAGGTATATTTCTCTGCCAGGAGTAAACCAATGATCAACAAAAAAGGGAAACAATATTAGTAAACAAACTTGTATTGCATGTGTGTTTGTTTTTCTTTCTTGCCTTGGCAAACGCTTTAACCACTTCCTGCCCGTAGGATGTCTTACGATGTCCTTGGGTTGAAGTGGTTATAGATACCTGCACCTGCAAGCATCATCCCAATATCAAAATCTGCAGCTGGCGATTTCCTGTTCAGCAGAAGTGATTTGAGTGTCCACGCGATCACTTCTGTGGGCAGCGCAAGTGGGCGTTCATTCCTTGTGAAAACAATAAAGTTGATAAAAAAAAATTAAAATGACAATGTAAAAATAAAAGTTTCAAATAAAATAAATAATAAAAAAAATTAAAGAAAAAATGTAAAGCCCCCCCACCCCATGCTTATGCGCAAATGCATACGTAAGTCCTGCACACATAAGTAAACGGTGATCACACCACACTTGTAAGGTATCGGTGCAAATGTCAGAGCGAGAGCAATAATTCTAGCTCCAGACCTCCTGTGAAACTTTAAACTGGTGACCTGTGAAAGCTTTTAAATCTTTTCCGATGGAGATTTTTAGGTACCGTAGTTTGGCACAGGTGTAAGCAATTTTCAAGCATAACATGTTAGGTATCTATTTACTTGACGTAACATCATCTTTTATATTTTAACAAAAAAATACTAACACTTTCTAAATTGACAGTTAGAATGGCCAAACCACATTGGCAACTGAACGAGTCTCTTCTTAGTAACGAATCATACTGCTTAGATATTACTACTCATTTTAAAGCTTACTTTGATGTAACAAAGCAGAAGACACTACCCAGGCTGTCAATTGGGCTACACACAAAGCCTCTGTTAGAAACTTCCTTATTCAATTGTCATCTAGACTCAAAAAAGCTTGTGATGAGATGATCTCTACCAAAACTAATGAATATCCGGCTCTGGCTCATCAACATAAACATTCCCCGACTCGTGATTTATTACACAAACTGGAACAGGCCTTACCACAAAAGCAGAAAATCTGCGTTGGGCAAACCATATGTTCTTTACTTGGTGTGATAGACCTAGCTCCCTATTGGCACATAAACTTACACCCAGATATTCTCATTCAGCTTTCCCCAAAAGTAGACTTACAGGGGTTACATTTTTCAAGATCCTCAAAAAATCCTTCAAGATTTCCATAATTTCTACATTACTCAGGGGCGGACTGACCATTTGGAAACGTGGGCACTGCCCGAGGGCCCAGGGTCAGTAGGGGGCCCCATGAGATGCCCCTGGTACCTTTTTCATAGGCTTTTTTGATTTGGGCAAGGACACAGGGGTCCCATGATCCCCTATTGCCCAGGGGCCCCATGAGTTGTCAGTCTGCCCTTGACAGTACTCTATATAGTCAACCCCAGGGTACTGCTTCTTCATCCATCCATGATTTCCTGGGGGCCATATCTCTCCCATCACTTAAGGTAGCTCATAAGGAACTCATATAACAGCCCTTTACCTGTACAGAGGTCCAAAAGATTATACAGATGCTATCTTCAAGTAAGTCACCAAGCCCTCATGGGCTCTCTAGTAATTATCATAAAAAGTTTTCTGAACAACTGTCCTTGCATATGGCTCTTTATTTTAACGTGTTACAGGATGGCAGAGTCACGTCTTTAGATGAAAGCAGAGTGTACATCAGCGTTATCCCTAAACCCAATAAAGATTCTACTGATGTCCTCAATTACTGTCTGATTTCACTGATTAATTGAGATTTAAAAATTACAAAACTTTTGGCTCTGCGTCTTAATACCTTTTTAGAGCACTATATCCATAAAGATCAGTCAGGATTTATAACCTGTCGCCAAACTTTGGATCAGATATGTCAATCTATTGCATTTATTTCAGCATTATGAGCTAATTGGAATGCCCCCTTTCTAGGGATCTTTGCTTCTTTTGTTGGACCTCCATAAGGCCTTTGACAGCTTAACTTGGGAATATCTACAGTATTTACCACTTTAGAGGCCTTTGGTTCTGTCCCACCTTTCTTTCTTTATTGAAAACTTCATATAGCACCCAACTAGCTCAAGTTTCCATCAGAGGCTATAGTATAGGTCTTCGTCATCTGCTATCCAACAGGAAACGAGTAATCCTGAGTTTCCACCAAGGTTAGTACCTACATCATTCCAGTGGTGGATTAATAAGGGGCTTTTGAGAATTGGTGATTACCTTAATGGCAACCAACCATATTCCCTGCAACATTTTAGAGAAAAATTTACAGCTGTCCCCTAGTGAAAATTTTCAATACGACCAAATTTTTATGCTCTAAACTTAACTTGCTAGATGGTCCTCTTTTTTCCAATGATCTTTGAATTCTCTTGTCAATCATGGAACCCTTTGAAGGGCAGATTATCTGCTTCCCTCACTGACCCGAAATCTATGATTCCCTTTATGAACCAGTCGGAATGAGACCTGAATCTAATATTTGAATTGTATGAGTGGCAAGATACTGCATATGCTCTATCCAAAATATCCATTAATACCATATTAATGGAAGCTAATTATAAACCGCTTTTACTTGGTATCTGGTCCCCACACAAGTTGCAAAAATGCATGGTCCTCATCGCCCACTTGTTTCTGGCATTGTGGCCACCTGGGGACTATGCAAGAGATCTGCTGGCAATGGCCTATAGTGACTAGATTTTGGGATTAAGATGTTTCAGTGATGGGAGTATCCACAGATCCCCGGAGTTGGCCCTTTTCCAAAAACTTCCAGATGAGGATCCTAAAAATTAATCACATACTGTACATGTTTTTGGCGGCAAAAATTACTGTTGCTAAATACTGAAAACAGTTGGTGGCCCTGCTTGACTATGTAAAGACTAAACTTAACTGGATCATGATCAATGACAGACTCACCTGTATTCTTCATAATAATACCAAGAAGTTTGATAAGATATGAGATGTGCTATAGAATAGTCCCTTAATAATTACCAGGCTGACCCTCCTTGTCTTCTTCCTTGCTCTGGTTTTTTCCTTCTTCCTCCCTCACTTTCTTATTCAGTAAAGTAAACTGATTTAAGGGGTCTTTGGGGCTCTGAGTTTACTTATGTTCTCAGGAAAGCCAAGTGTTTTTCCCCCCTCCTCCTACCCTCCACTTTCCCCTCCTTATTCTCCCCACTGTGCAACTGATACTATAATTTCATATATTGTTGTCGTTACATTTGCTATTTGGACTCATTATGCTCCTGGTCGCTTGCGGACTGGGTTCGCGTTATATAGCTCCTGATGATATTCATTACTCTCATTCTATATGAGAGCATCTGCCTGAGATCATCTTAATGCTATTGCTTATTTAGGGATGTGATGTACTAAGCTTTTGATATACTAATGTTATTTGTCATAATGTCAATTTGAAAACAGACCTCTGTTTGAATGATATATGATATGTGTCATATGTCAAATATTGAAATATAAAATGTTGAAATATAAAATGTATTAAAAAGTATTTTTTCCAAAAATATTTGAAAAAACGCTGCGCAAATACTGTGTGACATGAAATATTTCAACACCCACCATTTTATTTCTAAGGCCTCTGATAAATAGATTAAAAAAATAAATAAATATATATATATATATATATATATATATATATATATATATATAAAAATGTTTGGGGGTTCTAAGTAATCAATAAAAAATTATAATTTTCACATGTAGGAGAGAAATGTCATAATTGGCCCTGGTAGGGATGTAGTTAACGCTCTGCACTCTATTTAAAGATAAAAAAAATGGCTGGGCTATTAATATGAGGGCAGTCAAGTGATTATCATCCTACCATGACAACGGCAAGTACATGCCTCTTTTTAAGTAAAGTTTATTCAATTCTCCAACACGTCACGTTGTGTCATTTGTGAATAAAGTTTTTTTGAATAAAATAACACGTCTCCAATACGCTTTGTCGCGAGGCTTCAATGATGTAACGTAAAGTGGGGGCGTGTCAGAGAGGTGGTGGGCGGGGCCTTCGCCGGGTGACGGCCATCGGTGTGTCGGTGGTGTGGTCCAGTGAGGTTCCGGGTTGCCGGTGATTCTCCCGGCGAGGAGAAGGAGGAGTAGGGGCGGCCATGGCCGGACAGCAGTTCCAATATGACGACAGTGGCAACACGTTCCTCTACTTCCTGACATCCTTCGTGGGGCTGATCGTTATCCCGGCCACATATTACCTGTGGCCCCGGGACCAGAACTCGGGTGAGTGCTGGAGAGGTTGAGGGGGGCCTGTCCTGGGCATATTATTGCTAGCTATTGGCAGTATTTCGTTTTCACTAAAATGGCATTGAGCATGATGCAGACATGACCAGGCTGAGGGGTTACATGTGAGACTTGTTCACAGCTATGAGTGTCTTCTCACCATAATGGCAATCATTAGCGATGTGTCAGGCCAGTGATACCTGGAGCAGCCTCTGTGCAAGGGTGAGGAGTACTCATGTTTCCCCGTGTCCCACATCTCGGATCAGCCTGTTACAGATTGCAGGTAGCAGATCAGCAGTGTCTCTTATACCTCAGGTAGAACAGTGTCACAGATTGCAAGTAGTAGATGAGTATGTCACAGATCGCAGGTACGATCGTGTCCCACATGCCAGGTAGGAAATCGATGGCATGTCCCACATTGCAGGTCGGTCAGCAGCGTGTCGCACTTTACAGGCATATCATCAGAGTGAACTACATGTCAGCGTGTCTCACATCGCAGGTAGGAGATCATAAGTTATCACCGATGCCCCTGATCATAGGTTATCACTGCCAGTTGGTGTAGCTGATCCCCACACCTGGATACGCCTCCGGTCGGTGTAGCTGCCCCCCCTTACCGATATGCCGTCGGTCAGTGTAGCTGTACCCCCCGGATACGCCGCCAGTTGGTGTAACTGCCCCTACACACCCCCCCCCCCCGATGCGCCGCTGGTCGGTGCAGCTGCCCCTTTCCCCCCCCCGATGCGCCGCTGGTCGGTGCAGCTGCCCCTTTCCCCCCCGGATGCGCCGCTGGTCGGTGCAGCTGCCCCTTTCCCCCCCGGATGCGCCGCTGGTCGGTGCAGCTGCCCCTTTCCCCCCCGGATGCGCCGCTGGTCGGTGCAGCTGCCCCTTTCCCCCCCGGATGCGCCGCTGGTCGGTGCAGCTGCCCCTTTGCCCCCCGGATGCGCCGCTGGTCGGTGCAGCTGCCCCTTTCCCCCCCGGATGCGCCGCTGGTCGGTGCAGCTGCCCCTTTCCCCCCCGGATGCGCCGCTGGTCGGTGCAGCTGCCCCTTTCCCCCCCGGATGCGCCGCTGGTCGGTGCAGCTGCCCCTTTCCCCCCCGGATGCGCCGCTGGTCGGTGCAGCTGCCCCTTTCCCCCCCGGATGCGCCGCTGGTCGGTGCAGCTGCCCCTTTCCCCCCCGGATGCGCCGCTGGTCGGTGCAGCTGCCCCTTTCCCCCCCGGATGCGCCGCTGGTCGGTGCAGCTGCCCCTTTCCCCCCCGGATGCGCCGCTGGTCGGTGCAGCTGCCCCTTTCCCCCCCGGATGCGCCGCTGGTCGGTGCAGCTGCCCCTTTCCCCCCCGGATGCGCCGCTGGTCGGTGCAGCTGCCCCTTTCCCCCCCGGATGCGCCGCTGGTCGGTGCAGCTGCCCCTTTCCCCCCCGGATGCGCCGCTGGTCGGTGCAGCTGCCCCTTTCCCCCCCGGATGCGCCGCTGGTCGGTGCAGCTGCCCCTTTCCCCCCCGGATGCGCCGCTGGTCGGTGCAGCTGCCCCTTTCCCCCCCGGATGCGCCGCTGGTCGGTGCAGCTGCCCCTTTCCCCCCCGGATGCGCCGCTGGTCGGTGCAGCTGCCCCTTTCCCCCCCGGATGCGCCGCTGGTCGGTGCAGCTGCCCCTTTCCCCCCCCGGATGCGCCGCTGGTCGGTGCAGCTGCCCCTTTCCCCCCCGGATGCGCCGCTGGTCGGTGCAGCTGCCCCTTTCCCCCCCGGATGCGCCGCTGGTCGGTGGAGCTTTCCCCCCCAGATGCGCCGCTGGTCGGTGGAGCTTTCCCCCCCCGCATGCGCCGCTGGTCGGTGGAGCTTTCCCCCCCCCCGCATGCGCCGCTGGTCGGTGGAGCTTTCCCCCCCCGCATGCGCCGCTGGTCGGTGGAGCTTTCCCCCCCGCATGCGCCGCTGGTCGGTGGAGCTTTCCCCCCCGCATGCGCCGCTGGTCGGTGGAGCTTTCCCCCCCCCCCCCCCATGCGCCGCTGGTCGGTGGAGCTTTCCCCCCCCGCATGCGCCGCTGGTCGGTGGAGCTTTCCCCCCCCCCCCCGCATGCGCCGCTGGTCGGTGGAGCTTTCCCCCCCCGCATGCGCCGCTGGTCGGTGGAGCTTTCCCCCCCCGCATGCGCCGCTGGTCGGTGGAGCTTTCCCCCCCCGCATGCGCCGCTGGTCGGTGGAGCTTTCCCCCCCCCCCCCCGCATGCGCCGCTGGTCGGTGGAGCTTTCCCCCCCCCCCCCCCCCCCCGCATGCGCCGCTGGTCGGTGGAGCTTTCCCCCCCCATGCGCCGCTGGTCGGTGGAGCTTTCCCCCCCCGCATGCGCCGCTGGTCGGTGGAGCTTTCCCCCCCCCCCGCATGCGCCGCTGGTCGGTGGAGCTTTCCCCCCCCCCGCATGCGCCGCTGGTCGGTGGAGCTTTCCCCCCCCCCCCCGCATGCGCCGCTGGTCGGTGGAGCTTTCCCCCCCCCCCCCCATGCGCCCGCTGGTCGGTGGAGCTTTCCCCCCCCCCCGCCGCATTTCCCCCCCCCCCGCCCGCTGGTCGGTGGAGCTTTCCCCCCCCCCCCCCGCATGCGCCGCTGGTCGGTGGAGCTTTCCCCCCCCCCCCGCATGCGCCGCTGGTCGGTGGAGCTTTCCCCCCCGCATGCGCCGCTGGTCGGTGGAGCTTTCCCCCCCCCCCCCCGCATGCGCCGCTGGTCGGTGGAGCTTTCCCCCCCCCCCGCATGCGCCGCTGGTCGGTGGAGCTTTCCCCCCGCCGCATGCGCCGCTGGTCGGTGGAGCTGCCCCCCCCCGCATACGCCGCTGGTTGGTGTAGCTACCCCCTTCTTTCGCCGCTGGTCGGTGTAGCTACCCCCCCCCCCCCCGCGCATACACCACCGGTCAGTGTAGCTTTCCCTCACCCCCTCCTCTCCCGCATACACCACCGATTGGTGCAGCTGCCCCTCCCCCCCGCATATGCCGTCCGGTCGATGTAGCTGCCCCTTTTCCCCCCCCCCAGATATGCCGCCGGTCGATGTAGCTGCCCCTTTTTCCCCCAGATATGCCGCCGGTCGATGTAGCTGCCCCTTTTTCCCCCAGATACGCCGCCGGTTGGTCTAGCTGCCCCTTTCCCCCCCGGATACGCCGCCGGTCGGTGTAGCTGCCCCTTTCCCCCCAGATACGCCGCCGGTCGGTGTAGCTGCCCCTTTCCCCCCGGATACGCCGCCGGTCGGTGTAGCTGCCGGTCGATGTAGCTGCCCCTTTTTCCCCCAGATATGCCGCCGGTCGATGTAGCTGCCCCTTTTTCCCCCGCATATGCCGCCGGTCGATGTAGCTGCCCCTTTTTCCCCCAGATATGCCGCCGGTCGATGTAGCTGCCCCTTTTTCCCCCAGATATGCCGCCGGTCGATGTAGCTGCCCCTTTTTCCCCCAGATACGCCGCCGGTCGGTCTAGCTGCCCCTTTCCCCCCCCCGGATACGCCGCCGGTCGGTGTAGCTGCCCCTTTCCCCCCGGATACGCCGCCGGTCGGTGTAGCTGCCCCTTTCCCCCCGGATACGCCGCCGGTCGGTGTAGCTGCCCCTTTTCCCCCGGATACACCGCCGGTCGGTGTAGCTGCCCCTTTTCCCCCGGATACGCCGCCGTCGGTGTAGCTGCCCCTTTTCCCCCGGATACGCCGCCGGTCGGTGTAGCTGCCCCTTTTCCCCCGGATACGCCGCCGGTCGGTGTAGCTGCCCCTTTTCCACCGGATACGCCGCCGGTCGGTGTAGCTGCTTCCCCTTCCTCGCCCCCAGATACGCTGCCGGTCAGTGTAGCTGCTTCCCCTTTTTGCAAATGGAATCCTGACACTGTGCATTCCACGTTTAGTAATGGACTACTAAGCTAACTAGAAAAAGTGTCTCAAAATCAAAGTCCCAGTGAGTTTGAAAGGCACCGCAAGACCACTCCGCGTAACTCAAGCGGGAAAGGAAAGGAATCCCCAGAGCCCCACCCACCCGCTTGTGGACTTTTATATTGAAGGGGCACTGAAGCAAGAAATGGTCCATCGTCCCCTCCACCCCACCGCACTCCACTCTTGGATAACCACGGTTCTCCGCAGAGTGATGCTTCAGATTGCCCTTCACATAGAGTCTGCCATGGAATGAGAGCCAGGCCAAATCCTGAAACTTTAAAGGGATTCTCTCCAGATTCATCAAATGCAGACCCTCCCTCATAAGAAGGCCTGGGCAATCCCTCAAGGCCAATGGCTTGCTAAAGGCAGATTCAACAACCCTCCTCTCCAGGACCTTCCTTGGAAGAGACTTATTTTCCTTTGCCATCACTCACCATTGCAGAAGCATTTTCAGGCACGGGGGAACATAAGCCGTGAGCTTAACATGTTGGACCCTCAGAATTTTCACTGGCCCATCATTCTCCCAGTTCCGCAGAAAAGGCCTAAACCAGGACTGAAAAATACCTAACCACCCAGGCGGTTCCTCTGCCAGCATGCTACCAAAATTATGTTTCAAAAACATCAGAGAAAAGAAAACCATTGGGTTGACCATACCTAGGCCACCCATCCGCCTGGGAAGGTAGGTTACAGACCTCTTAATGAGGTTCAGTTTGTTCCCCCATAACAGCTGGAAGAAACAACTGTAGATCCTTGCATAGAGAGACACTGGCAAAATGCAGACAAAGCTGACATACAGAAATACTGGGATCAGGTTAGTTTTAATCAGGTCAATCCTTTCCCTGTAAGAGAGTTTCCAATCCTTCGAGCTGGCAACCTTGGCATCGGCATCTTGTAGCCTGCTTACTCAATTTGCAAGGCCGTAATCTCCGGGACCAAATCTGATGCCTAAAACTTTAATTTCCTGCTGGGGCTCTGGGAAGTCGTCTGGAAGGGTAAAGCCTTCACCTTCCTCTCCCATCCAGAAAACCTCACTCTTATCCTGATTGATCTTTGAGCCAGATGCCTCACATACTGTTCCATCAGCCAGACCACCTCCTGCGTCCCAGAGATGAAAACAGACACATCATAA